AATCGTTCACCCGTCGCCTTCACATAATACATGTAACTCGGTGGGTAAGAGAAAAACGCTTCAGCTACGGACTCGAGTGGGTCTTCTAATCTCCAATGAAACAAATAGTTCAGTATACATTGTAGTTCGTGGTTCTCAGTGTTCTGATGTAGTTCCATCAATGAATCGACAAACGTAGAATCTGGATCTTTTTCCAGTTGCTGTAAATGTTCGAGTACATCTCTGTCAACCGCCAGTTTTAGTACCCTCATTGCCTCAGCGAATTCATTCCAAACCATACGCTTACCATTCACGCGTTCGATCGCTTGTAAACCATACATTTGCCATCGTTCGTTTTCGTTCATCATGAGGCAGTCATGTTGTCTTTGACTAGAATGACCAACTTGACAACCATTACAGGATTCCACACAAAGTCTTTCAACTTCTTGTGCGACTGCATTCGCAAAAATTCCTTCCAATAAATTGTAAGATGTGGTTTTGCCGTGTAGACACGCCATGACTGATGTGGAACAAATGCAGAACTATGCTTGTTACAAGACGCTTGTCGATTTTATACAGATACTTGTATAAAAGTTCATAGTAAGCCAACATTAATCCCTCCATTGTATTATAAACGTGGGCGACGCTAAAAAATGCGTAGTCAGCAAGTTTCGCCCGATCGTGTTTAAACCTGCCCGCGTGACGTCATTGCATATAATTATGACGTATGTTAATGAGTGACGTCATTACTCCTCCTCAATTGGACGAGTATTAATTATAAATGAGGTGGTGGACACCCACCACCTCAAAACTCCACCACCTCACACTCCACCACCTCACACCACCTCATCCACCACCTCAAAAATCCGGATCGATCGGCCCCTACTATACTACTTAGAAGTATTGACATCACTACGCCAAACAACTGCAGACAACTACCGTGAAGGAAATCGACAACATAATTGGCCAACTTGAGAAAGACAGCTTATGAAAGGTGTTATGTATCACAGCATGGACGCTCAGACTTGTATTCAAGGCATATAATAAGTTCATGTATGTGAAAGAGGGCATTAACGACTCCGAAAATAACGAAACAAGGATTTATCGGAGAAAACTTGCACAGCGAGAAACAGCAAATGCCAGCACCTTCGCATAAATTTCATCACAACAGAATATTACGCGGTGGAGTAGAGTTAACAATATGGACCTCTATGAAGTAGAACAGCGACAGGAGACGAAATTTCGAAAAGCTATGAAAATCCAAAACGACATCCGAAAGATAAAACTCGTCTATGGCTCATTCAAATTGTTTAATTTAATGCAACTCTTGGAGGTGTTCGGTAATTAAACTGCAGTAAATAATAGAAAAAAACTAACTGAGTAAGGCCCCGCATGCACTGGTGTAACAGAAAGATCTCAGGAACCAGACAAGTACTACAGTGCGGTGCCCTAGAGCATGCGCAAAACAAGTACACCGCGAGCGCGATGACATAGCATTTTGGACTAAATACCAAGGCTTGTGATTCAGAACAAACTGACAAACTCACGCAGCGAATATATATAAAGCGATGCCCAACTTCATTTTGGAGCCGCAATATGACCCCTCCCCGTTCGGACGTTTGGCGCAGTACTTTTATGTTGGTATAATTATATATTTGTTTTAAGAGATATGTTTGGACATTTTGAGGTATAACAGAAATATATCTATAAGTAAACAGGTTCTAACTAAAAACAATTTTCGCACACTTTTAAAAAAAACATTGTTCGACCTTAACGAAATATTCTAGTTTCAAGTGCCGAGTGTTAATGTCTTCTAAAGAAGAATGAAAACTTCGTCAGCTTTGATAAATAGACGGTATTACCAAGTACAAGACTAGCGAAGTTCATAAATATGAACCTCATGAATATGTCTGTGTAGTTGTGTGTATTTGTCATTTTGAGTTCGGCTGCAATTTTCTCTTAATGACAGTATTTAGGTGTATGTCAATGAAATGTTGTGAACATTGTTCGATTAAGAAGTACTATTATCCCTTTTAAGAAACAAAAGCAAAAACTCATTACATACAGGATGTCATTAACCGCTTTTGAGCAAAATTCATGTCATGGTCATAAATCATGTGACACAAACCCAAACGGTAAAGTTTACTTAAAATGAATACACTGTCATACAGGTTTATTATGTCTTCAGCTTGACAGCCCAGAATTATCTCCAGATTGCTTCAAAAATATCAGGGGCGTTCGGAACGGCTCTAAAAGTGGGGGAGGGGGCACAATTCGCGGCCGCCGAAGGCGGCTAACATTAAAGGGAGGTCCGGGGGCATCTCCCGGAAAAATTTAAAACTAGAGTCTCTGAAATGCCATTTCCTGCACTTTAGAAGGAGATTTACGAGTCATACAGTATCTCAAATTGTTTTGCCTAAAGGCGTAACTGAAACTATAGCAATTATCTTTGCGGTTTATTATTGACCACTGTTAAAAAGTGTGTGTGGGGGGGGGGGGCAAAGACATTTAGGCCCACTCCAACTAAAAAGGTAGGGGTCCGCCCCCCCCCCGGGTTTCGACGCCCCTGAAAAATATTGCAAATATGTAACAAAGTCTACATTTGCACTTGGCTTTAGGAGTGCTATAGCCCCTCCAAAAATAAAAGAGGAGGGGGTCCAAATTTTGCAGTATGTATATAAAAATTGGGCAACTTTTTGGGAAAAGTTCAGGCAAGGAAAAATAAAACCGGCACGTGTATTATAAATACTAAGTTAAGTAGGAAATATATGTTAGATCCAGAAAATGTTTGCCTCTTATCCCCCGTCGCGAGCATTTCCGGGAAAAAAATTTATATGGACATTTTAATGAATGTATGGAAATTAGCTCCCCCCCCCTTAAATAAAAACTGTTCCGCCGTCACTGCTTGCTTTGATGTAAATTTTAGGTAACCATGAGTGACCTGCAAACGTCTCAGGAATTTCAGCAGTGACACTAATCGCCAAAATTGTCAAATGTGCATGTAATTCAACATTCAGAAGTTTATTTGTACGCCGACCATACAATCATGATTCGCGTGAGACTGAGATTTCATGAGGAGTTTGTCAAATACGTGTATCGCAGACTCCGTTTCATGACTTGTGCTTTGGTTGTTCAGTCGTAAAAGGGGGGGAGGGGGAGACGGCAATTTAGCGGAAGGGGGGGGGGGTTGAATTTCGGCCGGAATTATATCCCTCCGGGGATATCCAAGAACAAATTATTGGGGGATTTCCAGGGACAAATTCAGAGCGAGACGAAAATCGAAATTGCACTACATGTCCCCGGAACATGAACTGGGAGGACAACCATTTTAGTTTGTTTCCCGTATTTCGAAATGCAAGCCGCAATTATAGTTGTTTATTTCATCCGAGGTGGAGGAACTTGTATAGTATCAGCGATTTTCTCATAATTTAGCCCGATACACAAGTGTTTTGTTTCAATTTATGCGCCGTACGAACTCGTCACAGTCTGGTCTGGCGGTTCGGCGCAGCTAACGAAATTACTCCACACCGCATTTAAACGTCGACTCGAGATAACACTTTAACCGACAAGAGATCGTTGCTTTCTGTATGATTACTTCGTCCCACTATCGCGTAAATCTACACTAAAGTAAGAAAGAATTTGGATACTGGTAGCAAAAGCATGCACTTATTCACTGACTAGTTAATCAGGACGTTTGTTACGCGAAAGATTTTGATTTAAAACAGTAGGATTAGGTTAAGGTAATACCCTTTTTCCAGTTTGGCCGGGAGAGACTCGGTTTTTCCGCCGCTTTTCTCACGACCTCCAGACAAATATCGAAAATATGCTGGTTTCTCCAGCAATGGAAAAATGTGATCCAGTTTGAAATGGAAAATGTGATCCAGTTTGAAATGGAAAAAGTGTTCCATTTTGAATGAAGCTTTTAAAAGTTCCTTTGTACGCACAAAATTGCGTTAAACATAAAAAACATCGTGTCTTATCTTCCCTGCTACACGAGATCCTCATGAATCAAATCAAAATTGATTCTGGAAAATTCATGACGATAATTTCAGTCGACGAATCGTAATTCGCGTTTTGCAGATACTGATGAGTCAAAGCATTTTGATGAATGAGTTAAAACAGCAATGAAGTGCCAGTAGATGACTAGAAGTAAAAACTAAATATCACCAGTATACATATATAGATTTGATAATGAAGTCAGACGTTTCCCCCAGATTTGTATTCTGAGGAGTTGGCAGGTCTAAAGAAAGATAGATCAACTTTATTTAGGCACACTAATCTCATTAAACATTGCTGATTTCCATGAGAGGTGTGCAATTGTTAAAATTTTAAAACTATTTTACTAATACATACAAACTATTATTATATAAATGCTATTAAATATTCACTTAACTAGACTACTTAATTTAATAATTGAGAGGCCGAGGGCGAGGAGAAAAGGTTTTTACAAAACATGTTTTAAGATATCGAATTTCGAATATTTTCTGGTATTCTATATATTCCATAATTTAGCGCCTCTGTAACTGAAACTTTTCTAAAAAAATTCTGTCCTGGGCCTTGGAATAAAAAGCCCAGTTGAAGAACCACTTAGAGCTAATTGATTTACTGTTTAAAATTCATAATTAATCTAATTGAGCTAATTGATTTACTGTTTTGTACATGAGTTTGGCCTTCATTAATGCTCTACGTTCTTCAAGAGATGTCCAAGCGAGAGCAGTACGAGCTAAGATAGACTGTCCATGCTCATTTTTAAAATTCATAATTAATCTAGCCGCTCGATTTTGCAATTTTTGAAGACGTTCGCCGACGTCTTTGCCAAGCTCATCGGTCTACAAATTCTATAAGTTTTTTAACGCACTAATCCCCGAAGATACTTTACTAGCGATATATTCAATATGTTTTTCCTAGTTTAGGTTCTCATCGATTTCAACTCCTAGCACTTTTGCGCATTTTACTCTTTTGATTGGACATGTGTCGATCTTAACTGTGGGTTGGACATTCATGCTATTAATCTTAGGGCGTCATCCAATCAAAATATATTCCGCTTTCGCAATATTTAAGCTAAGTTTGTTTGAAGACAACCACACCTTAACATTTTTCAAGTCCTTATTCGCTATCTCTTCTGCTTCATTTAATGTTTTGCTCACAGCTGTAAGGCTGGTATCATCTGCAAACATCATTGGTGTTGTATGTTTGAGACAATTTGGCAAATCATTTATATAGATAATAAACAGAAGAGGGCCAAGTATACTTCCCTGAGGGATGCCGCAAGTTATTCTTCTCTGATCTGAAAGCATTGCATTTAGCTGACATCTCTGTGTTCGATTTGTTAAGTAATTACTTAGTAAACCTAGGGCTTTATTACCAAAGCCATACCGTTTGAACTTACGTAAAAGAATTTCATGGTTGACAGTATCGAATGCTTTCTTTAAATCGAGAAGAACAACTATGTTGTATAGGCCACGGTCCATGTTAATATACCATTCATCAGTACAATCTAAAAGTGTGGTAGTTGTGGAATGAAATTGTCTAAAACCAAACTAATGTTCTGAAAGAATATTCTGTTTCTTTAAATAATCATACAGAATTTGGTCGTACAGAATCCTTTCCATCAGTTTGCTGACCACAGGTAAAATTGAGATTGGTCTACTATCTATTGAGCCGATTTGTTGTAAGCGAATTGCATGCACTTGTCTAGTTGCGGTTTCGACTTCTGGCATATACAAAAGACGTTGCCGTTGTAAATAGGGCATGCATGCAGATGTCTGCAATTTCCTACAGGCATTGAGTTATTCATTACCTTTGTGCTCCCTGATAACAGTTTTTGTTTTTATATCCGACGTCATCGCGTTTCTTGGCTACAACCTAAAGCCGGTTTTCCATTTCGCCCGTACCGTACCGTACGGAAACGTACTGGTGAGCATGCGCAGATTGAAAAGAGGTTTATAAATCCACGTACTTCCGGTTGTATTCGCGTATCAAAATAAAAAAAGTTCGTCGCAATTCAACTTTTTGGCGTACTACGGAAGTACTAACCAATCAACATTCACGAAATTTTGGAATTTGAAGACGTTTTTGATACGTTTCGGTACGGTACACTTGAAGTGGAAAACCGGCGTAAAGGTCCCTATTAAGTACGACAGAAGTTGTGGGCGGAGAAGCTAAGAACACAGATTTAATCCACAATACATAGAGGCAATAGTGTGTAAGCGGTACAGTGCAAGATCACTCCAGCTTCTGCTAACATGCCTAAGTTTTGGACCACAAGACAAAGAGCATTTTAGACTGTTGCAGTGGACTTCGCCAGATGAATCTCATACAAAAAGTAAAAAAGAGTTCAAAGCAAGCGTTACGCAGCACTCTACTCCTCACGGCTGTCCATCACAGTACATACACCTTCTATCGGGCATGACTGTTTAGGAGTTCAAACAAAGCCTTGGAGTTTATTACGAGGCGGGTAAATCCGGCAAAAATCGTTTGCAATAACGGCAAAGCGTTTCTCGAAACTGTCAAGTAATTTAGAGAGCTGGAACGGAGTTAAATACATTATGATTACGCAGCCCGATATGACACTTACTGCCTTTATGTACGAGCTCATGTTGGGGTGCCATTTCTTGAGCGTACGCTTGGAGTGACGAAAACTTGTCTTAAAACCACACCTGAGAAAAGTTCTACTCGACGGGGGAAACAATGCTAACTGAAAACAAACCATTACGATTACAAACTGCAACCCTTATATAACATAAGCCTTATAAGGAAGATGGAAAAAAGTTGGGGAAAAAGTTGAGAAAAATACACAACGCGATGCAAGGGTGCATGTAACGTGGAACAGGTGCTCGTTCGAATAGGTAAAAGCTACAACAGATGTCAGTAAAAAGCCAATATCGGGCGGAGACATCATATTTAAAAGGAAGGAAAGGGGAAACAGCATCTGACCTGGAGAAACTGACCACGCGGGGAATAACGTGGTGGTTTGAGCTATCACGGTAAGGAATATAATTGTATACCACAGCGGATAAAAAGAAACCAATGATTGAATGAATCGGAAAGCAAAAGATTTAAACCGAGAGTTGTTCGAGCTGTCAAGACAAGGGCTATGGGAAGAATTCAACAGACTGCCAATGACACTCAAGAATATTAGACATGACTGTTGTTATTTCTTGGATCGATGAAAAGCGCAGAGTGGTAAAAACCCAGTTGGCTTAAATTCAACATCGTAAAAAGGCACACCTAGAGCTGGCACTCACTCGCCAGTTGTATAACCTACAACACTCTGTATAACTGAGACTCGGGTTGTGGTGTAAATATTATACGGCTAGATGCCTGTGATGTTACTCTGAGTGTATATCCACACCAGGCAGGCTTGAGAAATATGCCTGGCCACGGTGGGAATCGAACCTACGACCTTTGGAATACTAGCCCAATGCTCTGCCAACTGAGCTACGCAGTCAGGTCTGTTCGAGTAAGTGATATTTCGGAACCTACGACCTTTGGAATACTAGCCCAATACGTGGCCAGGCATATTTTTCAAGCCTGCCCGGTGTGGATATACATTCAGAGTAACATCACAAGCATCGTATTCACCTGAGTACCTTGCACCAACACAAGAAAATATCATTGTACGGCTAGTTTTGATATTCGATTATTATTATTAACTCTGTTCCGCCGAATCAAAATGTATCTGCCACTTCAAACAAGGATTCTATTTCATAAAACGTTCTTTGAACTAAGGATTGATTATTGCTGCACCGTTTGGGGACAATCACCACACACTTCAAGAATAAAGAAACTACAAAAACTTATCCTAAAACTAATTTATGATAAATCTAAACTTTCTCCATCTAAACCACTTTTCGAACAGTGAAACATTTTACCAATAAAGTACAGAGTTATGTATAGGGAAGTTTGCCTAGTTTATAAATCCTTAAATAACTTGACTCCAGACTATTTATAAATAAGTAATATGTTCAAACCATTGTCAACAGTTTCCCAGCGACATACAAGAAGCACTGCCAATATGGACTTATGGGTACCAAACCATAAACTAATAACAATCACCAGGAGAAGACTTCGGTACACTGGAGCATATTTTTATAATATGTTGCCACCAGATATTAGATCTTCCAGCTCATTTCAAGCATTCAAGCGTAAAGCCCATGAATTGTTTTTGGATATGTATAAAAATAACTCGTAAGATGCACAGTGTATGTTAATTCTAATTTGCTATACATATATCGATATGTACTTTATATAATTATGTATACTGTAGTCTGTAGAAAGGTAAATTGTACTGCATGTAAATATATTTAATTATATAGTTAATTTTAGAAGGTCCAGTGGACGATTAGCGAAAGCTAAACTGGCATATTTCCTTGTAAATTAATCTTCTTTAAATAAAGTTTTAATAATAATAATATTGTAATAGCAAATCAATTAGTGCATGCATGAATGTTTAATTATTTTAATTTTAGCATAAAAGCTTGTGTTAAGCATAGGTTAGTTAGCATGTTTGTAAATTCCGAGTATAAATCCGAGTATAACATGGTGAGATCGCAGTTTAAGGCTATATAGTTCTTTATCTATTCTCGGTTGAATTAACTGGCTATATTCAATGCACTTTGGCGAAAAGCTCCGTTAGTTACAGTATGGAGACGCGCGGAGCTACTCAACGAGTAACCAATACAACACTAGATAAAGAAGGAGTATTCAACAAGAGATTGAACAAACTTCGTAGGTATATTGCGAGCTATAGGGGTTATTTAACTCGTCTGTATAGAGAGACGGATGAGCTCATGCAGAACTATGACAATTACAAGGAAGTAATAAAGAAACGTGAGGATTTAGATAAAGGTTTTGCAAACTTTAAAGAAGCAAGTGACAATTGTGGCCGATTCCTTATTAAAGACGAAGAAAAGGAAGCCTTGGCGAGTCAATTGGACACTGAAATCAGGCGTTATCAAGAATTTAAGATTAGATACTCGGACTGGCTGCGAAAGTTCACTCGAAGAGAAAACCGATCAAGTGAAACGGGTATGCAAATTTCACCGAACAAATTTGAAATGCAAACAATATCTCGTGATGAAGCTCATGAAGCGGAACTGCAGACAAAGGTCGGGGGCGATTCGTTGAATTCTTTAACCAGAGGAGCGTATCTTTTGTAAATCTAGATATGGATTTTTAGGATTCGGATTTTTTGGATTCGTTAAACAAATGGAACGAATTGTGAGAATCGGAATTCTCCTGCTGTTTTCCTGCTGTTTTCTGTCCCAGATCCAAATCCAGATTGTACTAAAGGAACGCACCCTAGAAGTGACCGAATGGCGGACAATGAAACCGCGAAAACAACCACAGAACGGGATAGTTTATATAAAGACAGTGTGTTGCGAGTACCAAGCCTGGGGAAGCAAAAATATTTGTCAAACTATTCAACTCAGAGCCCAAGAAGTAAAAATAGGTACGCGACGCGTACAAATATCTGCCAAAAGACTTGATTCACATTTTCATCACTTATTATAATAAATTTAATAGCAAATAAGATTTTAAAGTCAAACATAGTACAAATCTAACAAGGCTGTAGACAGCACAGAGAGCAGCAGGGGCAACTCAAACCCCCCCCCCTCCCCCGCAAAAATTTAACTAATTTTATGTGATTATGATTGTAACTCGGATAATTATGCAGTCAAAAAATAAAAAGTTCATGCAAACAATATTCGCAGTGTCTATTTAGTAAACTGTCACTTATCAATCCATAACCATTTTGAAAACTTTATTGTAATCAATATGAAGCAAAAGTTCTGTCACTTGTTGTTTACACTTGCCAACGTTAACTGTTGAGTAACATACACAAACTATTTGAGGAACATACATTAATACTGTAGCAAAGAGTCCATCATATATCGAAGACCACTGAATAGTAGAGAATGTTTTAAAGGTCATGAATGAAGTATATAATTAAATTCCAATTAACTGTGCCCTGTGCACAGTTAATGATATACCACACTGTTCGGTTTAACACAACATATCCACACAAAAACAATTTGTGTTGTGGGAGATTATCGGTTTGAGTAGAAGGTATCACAAGTTTAGTTTTGTACATTGTGTGCCATTGATCAAATCCACCATATAATATATGATTACTCATTGTAGCTGTTAAGTTATTTTCCATACTAATGAATTTAGGTAAGATTGTCTTGCAAGTTGGTTGTTCTGACAAAATTATCCAGCCAATATCCAGTATATTTATTCTTCATTCTTGTATTAATCTCTAAAGAAAAATATTTATTTTAGAAAGCAAAATGACAATGTAATGACGCTCGGGAGGGTGAGGATTCTTTTATTTGAAAATGTTTGTAAAAATTTTGTTTAATTAACTCTAATGTGTAAAACCAAAATGTATAAGTATTTTAACTGATAAGATCTTCAACCTTTGCTCTAACACTACATTTGATGACAGCTTTATAGTTGGACTGTTGTTTTGAACAGAGTTATGGAGTCAATATACAGAAATACAGGACCAGGATTGAATTCAATATCTCCTGAGAACTGTCCAATAGGTTCCTTTGATATTGTTAATTGGCAATATTGCCTGCTATGTTTTCACTGTTAAAATATTACAGACGTCACAGAAGGATTGTTTTTAATACTGTATAAATCTTTTTGTGAACTATGTTGACAAATGGCTTAAAATATCCTCGAAAATATCCAATATTTTATACAGTGTAATATATTAATAAAAAATTCCAGAGTGCATTCCATGTAAACTCTACGCCGAAGATACGGCAATATTAACTATAGATAGTATAGTAAATATTTGCCGAACTGGCGAACTCATTTATTTATTTATTTATTAACTTTACAACCATACATAAAATAGACTAAAACACTACATAATATGGTTGAAGGTATGGTCAACAGGACATGAATAGCCCCATATGAAGACCAACCTTAATAACTCATGTATTAATATAAAAAATGTGGGACATATATTTGCACAAATTTGGTATTTAAATATATAATATGTGGTATTTGGCTACTTACCAGATGAGGATAAGATTCCATGTTGATAAATAAATTCGGAATAATATCGCAAGTAGAATGCCGATTCAAGATAAATTGATAAAAATATCAAGATATTTTTGAAAGAATATAAACACGATTTATACACGAGGCCTGACGAGGCTAAAGTATGCCCGTTCGCAGGTTAGATGCGGGCACAATGTAAACAATTGATGTAAACGAATCGCTGATTGGCTTAAATTGGCTTAAATTATATAAGCTCGTCGCTGAGTGGCTATCTGCTAACATACGGTACGGTACGGTCACGGCACGTTTGCGATAGCATATATATCTGCTTCGCAGATACAAAAACGAGGGAAGTCGATGGTTCGAAAACGAGTCGAAGAAGTCTAGTCAGAGTAGTGAGAGAAGTAAACAAAGTCAAAAGCTGGCGATGTCTCGTTTGAAGTTAAAACGGCTCGAAGAAAAGGAGAGCTCCTCGAAAGACAACAGAAACTAGAAGCTGAAATATACGAACGAAAATTAAAAACAGAAATGGCAAAATTGGAATTAAAAGGTGAAATTATCGACGCTCGAGCAGAAGTTGAAAAGTGTGCAATTGAATCACAATATTCCGTTGATGATGGTGATTTCGGACGTGACGCAGATGAGCGACTTCCAGATCTAGAAAGACAGACTATACAACAGACCATGGAGAGGTTTTTGGGATCCAGTTGGACAGAGAAGCAGGTGGAAGAATTCCCAACACCGAGTCGATCAAATCCTCCGCCGATAACTTCAGCGAGGAATGACGTAGGTATTCATCCTGAAATTCAGCGTTTACTCGAAAGACAGAGTCAAGTTATCGAAGGTCAGAATACTACGGTAGAAAAGCTGACATCTAGTCCTGACCTGCCGAAGCGTGAATTTTTGTGCTTTGATGGCAACCCAACAACGTATTTGCGATTTATAAAAAAACTTTGAAGTGAATGTAGAAAGTCGGGTACCTGACGAAACAGTTAGGCTTTCCTATCTTATTCAATATACCAGCGGGGCAGCTAGACAAGCTACTGAGAACTGCGTGATCTACCTGTTCTTGATCCCAGCAGAGTATCAACATTTGGAACACAGCATGCTGAAACACAAACTGGTGGTGACAGTTCGAATGATCATAAATCGCAGCAAAGAAGTAGGCAGTGTTTACTGTGTGGAGCATCGAATCACGACTTGGAAAAATGCTACAAGTTTAGGCAGAAGTCTTACCAAGAACGATTAGAATTTACTCAGACAGAAAAATTGTGTCACAAATGTTTAAGAAAGAATAATTTTGAAAGACGATGTAGAATGGGTCCGGCGTGTATGTTGAGTGACTGTAATGTTCGACACCATTCCCTTCTTCATTTACCAGTTAATCCACCAGAGAGTTCACCCAGCTCTGAAAAAGATCAGGAAGAATCCCCTCATCGTAGTAACGAGGCCGGAGCCTCGGTACCCGGTGTGGAGCGACAGCGAAGAAGAAACCAAGGGTATGTTTAAGAATACTTCCAGTCAGAATCACCAACAACGATGGCACTCGTCAAGTGGATACGTATGCCTTTATTGATAACGGATCAGATACGACACTTTGCACGAACAGTTTAGTAGAAAATCTTCACCTGAAACATAAACCAACTGAATTTTCCCTAACAACGATCAATGCTCAGGACAAGAAGAGACGTGGTCTAGAAGTTGAGCTGAAGGTGCAAGCTTTGAAAGGCGAAAGCGAACTACAATTAGATCGTGTATGGAGTGTTGATCGTCTACCTATTTCAGAAAGAAGTATCCCTGAGGTGGACGATATTGGCCATTGGTCTCATCTGAATGGTATCGACTTCCCCGAGCTCGATGACAAAGAAGTCAGTATCTTTATTGGAAGTGACGTTCCGGAAGTTCATTGGACATTGGAGGAAAGACGGGGAGGACCTAAAGAACCATTGGCAGTTTGTACGATACTTGGTTGGACGCTGTTTGGTCCTATAGGAAGTGGAACAAGCACGGAAGGAAATGTTAATTTCGTACAGATCGATCATCGTGAAGAAATAAAACATCAGTTAGAACGATTATATAACAGTGAATTCAATGACTAACCCTTGAATGGAGATAAACCTATGTCGATCGAAGACCGTCGAGCTCTTACTATTATGGAAAAATCTGTACGACAAGTCGATGGTCACTATCAAATATCTCTACCGTGGCGTTATAGTCCACCGTGTTTACCAGACAACAAATTATTGGCTGAGAAGAGACTCCAACAACTTCAAAGGCGATTAAAGTATGATGAACAACTGAAATAAAAGTACCGGAATATTATTGATGATTATGTCGTCAAAGGTCATGCCAGAAGAGTTCCTGAGGCTGATTTTGATTCGAATGATAAACCCCTTTGGTATCTGCCTCACCATCCTGTATTACATGCCAAGAAGCCAGGAAAAGTCAGAGTCGTGTTTGACTGTTCGGCACAATATAAGGGAACATCGCTCAACGATCAGCTATTAAGTGGACCAGATTTAACAAATTCCCTTGTTGGGGTTCTACTTCGCTTCCGTCAAGAATCGATTGCTATGATGTCAGATGTTGAACAGATGTTTCATCAAGTCCTCGTAGATCCAAAAGACCAGGATGCCTTCAGATTCTTGTGGTGGCCAAAAGGTGATCTGAAAGCGAAAGCAGAAGAATTCCAAATGCTGGTGCATTTGTTCGGTGCCACCTCATCGCCAAGCTGTGCAAATTTTGCATTAAGGAAAACAGCCGAAGACAATCGAAAGGATTTTGACTTCTCAGTTATCGAGACAGTGAATCATAATTTTTACGTAGATGATTGTCTAAAATCGGTAGCGACGATTGAAAGAGCACTTCACTTGGTGAAAGAATTACCACGGTTGCTGGAACGAGGGGGATTTAATCTTACGAAGTGGGTATCAAATCGTCGAGAAGTTACTAGAGCCATACCAGTAGAGAAAAGAGCTTCTGTGGTCGATTTAGATTTGGAGAAATCGCGGATAGATCGAGCCTTGGGGGTTCACTGGGACATAGATAACGATACGTTTGGCTATAAAGTTGGAAAACGTGAGGCTGTTGATACACGAAGGAAGATTTTATCGTTAGTAACATCAATATACGATCCTTTGGGTATTGCTGCGCCATTGCTGTTACCAGCCAAGAAGATCTTACAAGACCTATGCAGAAATCTGATTGGTTGGGACGAAATAATTCCGCCTGAACTTTCCGTGAATTGGGAGAAATGGATTGATAATCTACCTGGTCTTGAGCGACTTGCTATTCCACGTTGTTTGAAACCCGAAACCTTGGGTAGACTTTCTTCCATTCAGTTACATTATTTTGCTGATGCTTCGGAGATCGGATATGGGGCAGTTTCGTATCTTCGTTTGGTCGACGTGTCGGGATCCATACATTGTGTCCTCCTGATGGGAAAGTCGCGTGTTGCACCGCTAAAATTACTTACTATCCCAAGATTGGAACTTTCTGCAGCCACAGTCGCAGTTAAGCTACATAAGTTTATTTCGTATGAGTTGGAACTACCGATTCACGATACAGTATTCTGGACGGATTCTACCATCGTCATACAATATATACGGAATGAAGCTAGAAGATTCCAGACCTTTACGGCTAATAGATTAGCACTGATTCATGAGATCTCAACACCTAACCAATGGAGACACGTTCCCTCGGAATGGAATCCTGCAGATTCAGCGTCTCGTGGGTTGGAGATGAATGATTCAAAGAAACTTCAGCAGTGGCTTAACGGACCCTCTTTGTGTTGGGAAGCCAAATGTTTCTGACCAGAGCAACTTGCTGACTTGATTGAATTGGCTGATGACGACGAAGAGTTGAAGAAGAAGTCCTTCAATATACACTCTGTTATAGATCATGATGGTGTTCATAGTTTGTTGAACCAATTTTCCACTTGGACGAAACTTCAAACCTCGATTGCCTGGTTTCTTCGTTTCAAGACATTCGTTTCGTTGCCCTTAAAAGCTCGAGATCAAGAAATATGACTCGTAGACCACTTAGAGTTTACGAACTACGTCACAGCACACATTAAATTGTTCGTTTGGTTCAAAAGTTGGCATTTCCCAAGGAATTAGAACTTATTCGGACTGGGAAAGATGACATCTTGGGTAAAGTTCTTCGAGGTACAGGCTATTTAAGTCGTTAAGAAAGCTTAATCCGATTATTGTTGGTGATGTCCTGAGAGTTGGTGGTCGTTTAAAGAGAGCCTCGATTGGTTACAACGCTTCTCATCCAGTGATTCTACCTCAGAAACATCAAGGGACCCAGTTGATAATTAACCACTACCATCAGATGGAAGGCCATGTTGGTAGCAGCCAAGTCTTGGCCATAATTGACAAAGATTCTGGATTCTGCAAGGTCCGAGTGCGGTTAAACAAGTAGTGCGGAGGTGCTTTACGTGTCGTCGTTGGAATTCACGCCCGATAGAGCAAATGATGTCTCCGTTGCCAGAAGCAAGAGTCACTCCAGAAGAACCAGCATGTTCGTCAGTTGGTATCGACTATTTTGGCCCACTCTTTGCAAAAATTAAAGCGAAGCGTTGTCAAACGATATGGATGTGTATTCACTTGTCTTGTTATCCGGGCTGTCCATATCGAGGTGTCTTACGATTTAAGCACAGATTCCTTCATACAAGCCTTTATGAGGTTCATCAGCCGACGTGGTCCTCCTACCAAGGTCTTCAGTGACAATGGTACAAATTTTAAAGGTGCGGAAACCGAGATAAAGGAAGCTTTGACAAAATGGAATCAGGATCGAATTTCTCGTTCTTTGAGAAGTCGTGACATTGAATGGAATTTTAACCCACCAGCTGCAAGCCACGCGGGTGGTGTCTGGGAAAGGATGATCCGATCAATCAGGAAAATATTGCGTTCGTTGATGACAGATCAGTTGGTGAATGATGAAACTCTTGCAACAATTTTGGCAGAAGTCGAGAAAATCCTCAACGATCGACCTTTGACCCGACTTAGTGATGATCCTAATGATTTAGAGCCATTGACTCCGAATAAATTGTTGTTATTACGTCCAAATCCTTGCTATCAACCCGTTGAATTTGGCGAAACGACTTCATACAACAAGAAATGGAAACAAGCCCAGTATCTTGCCTCCATATTTTGGAAGCGTTGGATTAAGGAGTACTTACCTACTTTACAAGAACGTCAGAAATGGTTACGCCCTAGACGAAATGTTGTTCCTGGTGATCTCGTTTTAGTCGTGCAAGAGAATGTTCAACGTGGACGGTGGCCGAAAGCTATAGTTGAAGAAGTATTCCCTGATGAATATGGTCATGTTCGCCATGTTATAATAAGGACTGAAACTGCGCGATTACGACGTGACGTGCGGAAACTGTGTTTATTAGAAAGTGCTATTTAATTAGAGACGATTAGTAAATATTTAAATTAATTGGTTACACTTGGAAACAATTAATATTTCGACTTTATTGAACTATTTAATTTATTGAACGTTTTTAGATTAAACAAAAATAACAAAAAATAATTTAGTATAGGATGTAACTATTTGCTATTTAGTATAGAAAGGCTTGGAAGCCTTTGAAGCCGGTATGTAATAGCAAATCAATTAGTGCATGCATGCATGTTTAATTATTTTAATTTTACCATAAAAGCTTGTGTTAAGCATAGGTTAGTTAGTATGTTTGTAAATTCCGAGTATAACCACGATAAAGAACCGTGGTTCTTTAAAAAAGGAAATATAAATCTTAACACTTGAACCTGAGTACTTTATTATGGATAACAGAATCAAAGTGAGATCGCAGTTTAAGGCTATAAATATTGCCATTGACAATGATCAGCCCGGAGCTTATTCAATATCTATTTTTTTACTTAACCTGCGATAAAGTTTGCTAAATAGAAGTACTTCAATAAATGTAGATGACAAACCACAGTTGCCCCAAACATTGGATTAACCCAATGGTATGAGACATTACACATTTACAAGACGAACAACCGTATGTCAAACTTAATATGTTGTGTCATCAACATGAAACAATAACCAGCGAAGCAATACACTAGAGTATTTAACGGAAATACAAAAAATAATGAATTAGGATCATTGAAAAGACGTCAGAAGTTCTCCAAATACCAGCTAACCAGAAATATAGAGATATTGCTGCAACTTATTGATCGCTCATGAATGACAAAAAGTGCAGTCTACCGGATATAGAATTTTTGGCATGTAAAGATTGAACGAATAATAATATTCTGCGCGCATATTAATCACGTTCACTCAACGTTGAGATAATGAATGACATGTGAAATAATCATGAGGAAGGGTTAAGGTTAAAGTAAAATTAGAATAGACCAAATATAGACTGATACTTACAATTCTTTGTAAGCAAAAAAGTAGTATCCCAAAGATGGTCTACACCATTTTCCAATGCATATTTCTTTGCTTGCTTCTCTACTTCTTCAGCCCCTTTCAACTGCTCAAATATCTGTCGACAAGTTTGCCACAATGTTTTATGTGCACCTCGCAAAGATACTGAAAAGGAATGATTCCCATATTTTCCATCTGCTCGAAGCCAGTCCACCACTGTCTTGTGGAAAACAGTTACACAATCATCATAAACAGGCAGCAATGCTGAAAGACATTCATTCACCTTGGTTATCACTGCCCTCATAGTACGGGTAGATCCAGGCAATTTAAGAATGTTGGCAATAAGGCTTAATGGAAATGGGTTTTGCATGGCAACCAGAATTTCAAGGATTTTATCAAACTCGATGTCGATTGACACTGTCTTTAGTTCCTCTTCCAAGCGCTTGAAATACTTTTGGTAAATGGAATGTGTTCCTTTAGGCACAACACTCAAAACATTCTCCACAATGTTCAATTTACGTAGTTCCAACTGATAATAATGCGCATATAAAAATGATCCCTCGCACATTTTGACCATTTCCTCCATGTCATATTGATCAACAGTATATCTGCCGCTCACACAGGAAACAAGATAATTCTTCAAGTCCTCTTTGTTGCCTTCATCATCACGTAGGATTTCAACAGGATTCAAGCGTTCCAATTTCTCTTTCGTAACTAGCTCGGGTCGGCTGGTTATGAATACTTTCACGCACTTGGGAAGCTTTCGAAATTCTTCCTCTATTACATCTAATAAATGCTCTTTTTCCCGACTCAAGCTCTCGTCTAAACCATCAATTACAATTAGAAAATTGGGCATTTCATCGGGTAGTGAATCCAAGGGATCCTTTAAAAACACACGGAAGGCATCTCCAATAGTGCTGCGTGAGTGATTTCGTTGTAACTGCACATCTAATATCTCTTTAAATCCATTCACATTCTTACACAATTGACTTCCTAAGGACTCAAACATCTTACATGGATCCCTGCGATCTGTATAGCGGGAGTTAAAGAAGTGGCATGCCTTTAACTGTCTTGTTTTCTGATACTCCTTACAAACTTTCGCAGCAAACGTAGTTTTTCCAAATCCTGCATCAGCAGTGAGGATCATAACTTGAGAATTCGAATCTTTACGTTCAAACCAGCGATCAACTTTCTCTAAAAGCCAGATCCTGGTTTCAGGGTGAAACGACTCATAATAATGTTGAATGTCTCCCTTAAAGTTACACTCCGTCAGCTTATTGATATCTAAAGATAAAAAAATTAGTTATTAAATTTCTGTTGTTAATTAAATTAATGATTAATTTCTCCAATTGTTGGGAGAAGATATATATGCCAAAATTACAATTATATTTAAATAATTTTTTATAATTTTAATTGCTTAAAAACAATAAAGCACTAGTGAGAGTGTCATCGGAAATTATAAAGACGAATTTACAAACAAAGAACGAAAAATTAATAGTTCTGCATCGTTTAGAAGGCCTCAGGACTTCAGAGCACTTATGGGGTCACACTTCGGCTACGCCTTGCTCAGGATTTAAATTCTATTAGTAACATCATGTTCATGAAGTGCTGCATGTAAGTCCCGATTCAGAGTGGTCACGAAAATCAGTCTTAGTTTTAAGCTGTTTCTGCTCCGAAATTGCTGATCTTCATACTCATAATCACACCTTTCCACCTTTCGATTAGTTTGGTTGTTGGAAGAAATACTATTCTAGCTCTAATGTTATTAACCTGTTTAGCCACCTATCCGCCATGTGTTCGTATTACTAAGTGCAGGAGAGTGCAGCTCAAGTGAGCTAGGTACCTTTTACTCACACTTCACTCGTAATCGAGCGTCAACTCTTTGAGTGTGAGTGAGCTTTAGAATACTTACATTCATATGTGTGTACCAAACTGACATAAACGTAAAATGTCTGCAAACATCTGTCACATATCTGTTGCAGTACTGCACAATAACTGCAACCTGCAATATCTGCAAAATATCTGCATAAAAGTTGCAGATAGTTTGCAGATATATTGATTATTTGTCAACATATATGAAAAATATCTGCATAAAATTTGCAGATATTTGCAGATATGTCATTTGTCTGTCAACATACCTGCAAAATATCTGCATAAAAGTTGCAGATATTTGCAGATATTTCAATTGTCTGTCAAAATATCTGCATAATATCTGCATACAAATTGCAGATATATATGTAGATATGCCAATATATAGTATCTGCAACTACACAGCAAAAAAAATTTCTTGTTGAGAAAACTATTCTTACTTCAAGAAAATATTTGTTGAAGTGAGAAACGAATTTTCTTAATTAGAAAAACGATTCTTAAAATGAGAAGTATTTGATTTGCAAGACATTTTTTCTTGAAATAAGAAAAATTCTCTTAACATATCTTAAATTACATTTGTTTTCTTCAAATATGGATGTTTTCTTACGATTTCGTCATCTTCATATTAAATCATTTTCTTAAAAAAAATTTTAAAACAAGAAATCAAATTCTTAACATAAAAAATAATGGTTAATAATAAATTATTTCTTACTTAAATTTTCTCGAAGAACAAAAATAAATTTGTTAAAATTTAAATATAACATCCGTTTCCAATTTTTGTATTTTTTTCTCCAAAATAATATATTTTTCCTCAATATTCTTTCAAGATGTCAAATGTCATCCTGGATATAAATTCTATATGGGTTAGTATATTCACTTTAACTGTAATTAGCCTTTTCTCAAAAGAGATCACAATGCATATTCTGGGGTCATTTGGATGGCAAAATATGTAGACATCCCTCAAATATGTGAAAGAGTAGAAGTATCTACTATCAAATATCAACTTTTTACACGACCAAAAATGAAATATCTCCTTTTTACATTAAACTTTAATGTAAATGCGTGCTGCCATATTTCTGGTCCCTCCAACAAGGGATTCGTGCAAGTAGACCTAGGACTTTGGGAAATAGCTAATTAAATATACAAATACTCTTCTATCATATTATCTTTGTTAATTAATTTTTTATTAAAGTAAGTTTGGTACAAAAATATTGTATTTTATTTATATTAAAATGCTACATTTTAGGGGGTTCTACAAGTTGCTTGAAATTCTAATAATAGTTGCTCGAAGAAGGAAGAAAAGTTGCCCAAAAGTTGCCCATTCCCCACAAAAAGTTTTCACTTTTCAATAAAGTTGCTCAAAAGTTGCTACTTTAATTGCGCTGCCAAGTGCTGCTATTTTAACTTTTGAGCAATTTTGAGCATGAAACAATTTTTTAATAAACATATATGAAGCATGACACAATTTTTTAATATATTACTTTATATATAGATTATAGTTCCACGTAATCGAATATAAAATCCGGCATAGTGTAAAAACAATTATGATAATGTCAAATACCAGCTTTTGTGTAAATATTTAACAATTATTCGCCGGAGGCGAAGTGATTATCGAGGAATATTCGTCGAGACCAAGTCGAGGTGATTATGGAGTTTGAGCTTCACGTTTCCGGGAACGGTAAACGGCAGGTTCAAACTTTCTTGGCAAAATTAACGTTGAACGTTTTCGTTTCATATTTTCTTTCTTGCATCAAAAGAATAATTATGTATTCCAGTTTTAAAACAGCAAGTTTATTAACTCTTTATTGCCTGATACCGTAAAATTTTTCTTTGCCTGGCGTTTGCTGCAAATCTTAAGCTCTCTAATATTCCCCGATGATCACCGAACCGGAGGCGAATAATTGTTTTAGTATTTTTACACAAGTCTTAATTTGTACTTGTTTTTTTGGGACTGCATGAATTTACTTTAATTTCGCTTAATTCTTTATCATAACTTCCACAAAACTGCTAGCTGCCATTTTGCAAATTTCGGTTTTGTCATATTCACCTCTAGGTGAATATAACAGCTTAATACGTCAAATTTGACCAATTAACTTGTGGTATTTGTTATGTTCAGTTGTGCAAAAATACTAAATAGTGTTATTAGGATGTTCTTTACACGACTTGCTTTTTCCCTTGAGCCTCTGTGCTTGAGCTGTCGGTCATTTTCAATACCAAAAGTGCAATATCGAGTATTAAATACCGATAAAGACGTATTGAGATTGACTGGACTTCGAGAGCTAAAGTTGTTTATCATTATCCTAAAATGGCCTACCATCCTTCTACACAGAATGAAAATAAACTCAAAATCGCTAAACAAAGTTACAAAGGTGTGAAATTCATGAAAAGTTGCTCGAAGTTACAAAAGTTGCCGTTTAAAACAAAAGTTGCTCATAAAACGAGAAGTTTCCAAAAAGTTGCCGAGCAACTTGTGGAAAGCCCTACTACATTTGCCCCCTTTTGGAAAGGAGACCTTGCTCCACCCATTTCCATCATCCCTGATACCATATAACTACATTCTAATTTAATTTCTAAAGTTGAGTTCTTTCCATGTTTTATTGAATCGTTGTAGAGAATTTGCGTTTTCCGAGAATTTATTATAAATAAATTAATTAACAGTCTACTGATCGAAAACATTTGTAAATATTCCTTATATTCAAGGAGAAACTATATTACATGACAACTAAAGCAATAGTTTGCGCGTTTCCTGGAGGCCTGGTGCCTAGTTCAAGTGTGGGAGCGCAAAGTGTCATGGGATAGCGTCGTTTCGAATTTTTGTGCTAAAAATGTGAAAGCACATTTACACGTCTTACATGGTGAAGATATTTATCGAAATTTTAAACTAAAAGCAGTAGCCACATGCACGTTTAGCGTGCCTATTTTTAAACTTATATTGGGTCAAACAAAGGCAAAAACCACCTTTTCATGATTGCGTAATGTTTTTGACAGCAAAAAAGTCGCCATTGGCATTCGTGTTGGCAATGTCGAAAGTTAAGAGTGTTAAACATACAAAACTCACCGTCAAAAATAACTGAAACCTTGTTTTTATTTCTTTTTAATAATGGATGCCTTACCAAAAGGGATTTCGAAAAAGAAAGGATTTGTTGTCAATAAAATGGAAGGTATAATAATTGAACGGAAATTGCCAAATTCAAATTTTGAAATACAGATCAAGGAAAACTTCGAAATATATAAACTTCAATCAATTTATATAACGTAATTACAGTGAAGCAAAACTGAATAAATATACGTAAGCTTAATTATTAAAGGGGAACTCCAGTCCAAATACAGTGTGGTTTATATGAAAGATCTTACCCTTATTAGAATGTTCGTCAAGTATTTCGGTCTAAATATTAATAGTAAAGCAGAAATTGCTTGTCAAAATTTGCGATTTTGTCAAATTCGGGCGCCATGTTGTTCTTTTCACTGCAGACTCGGATTTGTCCAGCGCCCTCATTTTTGACGTCATTGCGTGCTTCGAAGGTGTTTTTCATATAGAAAACTATGGTTTTGTATGGCGATTTAAAATTAATAAGAATATCGATTATTTCTCTGCTTCTAATTCTTTAGTTAACGTGAGTTTAGATCGATTTAACGGATATATTTTACAGACGGAGATATTTTATATTACAGAGCTTCTGACTGAGGTGAATCAAGAGTTCCCAGCCAATGCCTGCAGGTCATGGTTACTGGCCGCGTAGCTAATGTAGAAAATATATCATATATATTGCACCTTGTGGATCTGGGCATTTAACTCTCGTTTGACTAGATACTTATTGTTCAAATTTGCGAACAAGAAATTGTTCTGACTTGCTGAAAATATATCAATCGTACTATCGTAGTTAAAAACTTAAAATCGGTTGGGGAAGGCTGAAACATCTAGCAATAGCATACTGCAGTAGCGGAAAGTGAGCTTGTTGGTTACTAACTAGCTAGGTTCTGAGATTTCTGAAATAGTCTGTGACAGTGTTCTGAACCAAAAAATTCATAGGCATGTTGAATTTAAAACAGTTTATATAAAATAATAGTAAACTATAAATCTGTTAAACCATCGCAACAACTGCGTATAAACATTTCATGTGATGTGGGTCCTTACTAGTAACTTGACACTCTCGTGTATAAATAAAACCCATATTGAACCCAACACTACAACGAATGTTTAAAACCCTGTGCTAGCCTGTCTGTTATAAAACAATTATTTTGTCAGGATTGTCTTTTTTTTAAATCTCATCGTACTTTATTTAAATCGCATCACCTGAATTTCAGGTTACAGCCAACAAACAAATATATTTCTATAAAAAGCTTGTCATGCGACAAATGATAGTTAAGCCCAGCATGTAGTCTGCCCTCAGAATTATTTAGGTAACATTGTTTTATATTATTGATGTCTAAATTCATTTCATATATGCAAATGGCTTGACGCAAACTCGCAAGTCAAAGAATCACTAAGAGTAAGACGCCTATTTACAGTAATTGCACAATAAATAACAAAATGTTTTCAGCGCCAGAAACTGCTTGTAGCAGTCTGCTTCAAGCCCTAACTCAAAGACAGGCTGATTCAATTCGCAAACTTAAACAAATGATTAAAGACATGTTAGCAGTAAAAGATACCCATGCATGCGACTTTCTTCTCTCTCACCTCTCTTCGATTAAAACTGATATAAATCCATGGCCGTCCACGACTATATCTGTGACCTTCAGTGAAATACCCGATACCGCAATTAATCTTATTGCTCGCATACATGACTGGGCAAACAGAAGTTGCATAGACCGATAAATCGTTGCTGAACGCAAACGCAGCATCGATATTCATGCGAATTGAATCCGAGAGTCCAACAAGACCAAGATCCACACAGGGCAACAACCGCAAGATATAATTATTTAATTCTGCGCAAGCTTTCCGTACACCAGCATTAGCATGAACATGACCTAGCAACTGTTGATTCACCTCAGCCAGAAGCTCGGTAATGTGAAATGTCTCCGTCTGTAAAATATCTCTGTTAAATCGGTCTAAACTCACGTTAATTAAAGAATGAGAAGCAGAAAAATAATCGATATTCTTATTAAATCGCCATACATAGCCATAGTTTTCTATACTGATGAACAACACCTTCGAAGCACGAAATGACGTCAAAAATGAGGGCGCTGGACAAATCCGAGTCTGCAGTGAAAAGAAAAACATGGCGCCGAAATTTGACAAAATCGCAAACTTAGACAAGCAATTTCTCCTTTACTATTAATATTTAGACCGAAATACTTGAGGAACATTCTAATAAGGGGAAGATCTTTCATATAAACCACACTTGCATTTGGACTCGAGTTCCCTTTAAAGAAAACTATAATACCCAAACAAACCTGAATCGTGCCTGAAAGTCCACCGCAAATTGAAAATCTAAATTTTCGAACAAGCTCGAAAATTCTTTGCACTCGTCTCGGAATAAGCAGATCCGTTTTATAAACTTTACACACAATGTGATATACCTAACTCCCTTTTCGGTGTAGATTATTTAAATTAAACAATTTTCCACAGTATAAAGAGCTGTAAAACAGCAGACAAGTATACCGATGTCCCAGAATTTTCGACCCCCCCTACATTTTTGCCCCCCGGGAGGGGGAGAAATTCCTAGGAATATCGCCCCCAGGGGGTGAACATCCTTGGAATTTCGCCCCCCTTTAGGAAATTCACCCCACTTTAGAAACTTCACCTTTTCTTTAGGATTTTCGTCCTCCATTCAAAGTTTCGCCCTTCCTTAAGATGCATGGGACAATTATTACATGGCTTTAATCATTTGAAATCAGTATCAATTCAAAATTGTTAAGACAAAGCTTGAAATAACAACGATCTCCGATCAAAGATCGGCAAGGAACTGCTTATGATCGGCGGAAAAGCAGGGTTTCGGTTTCCAATCTGAAAAAAGCAGGGAAAGTCATGACTGCTGATCACCATGATCGGGAACTTTGGGAACGTTATTTCAAGCCCTGCAAGTAAGAATACAAATTTACAATTGCATGTATCGAAAGGGCTTACACAGTTACAGTAGATCAATAGGATTTATGACGCTTCACAGCACACCATGCATATTTTGCATTTCAGTGTTAGGGGGGGCGAACCTCCAGGGGGGGCGCATCTCCCGTGACATAATCTATCGTTTTATTCGTTTTCGAAGCAGCGGGCCATTCAAGTCACATGGCACAAGCTTCACGCAAGCACATCACGAATGGCACGCGCCAAAACATTAGGCGTTTCCAGTCCCTGTCTTGTGGATTGTCTATCATTAAACAGGGTAATTCATGAAACTTACAGCTTCGTTGGAAAGGAAAGCAGTTCATGTTTTAGGAAAAAAGTTACCGCATCAAAATTTATAAACATTAAACATTCAAAGCAAACTTGCCCTATATTTCACGATTTCCCACACTAAATCAATTCTTCAAGCAAAAATTGCTTCAAAATTGCTCGGTGTATAAACGATTTTCCAAATATATATCTTTGAAAATTGAAATCTTGCTTATCCTGCCAAGCAGCCATATAGTACAATCAAAATAGAAAATAGGTCAGAAAAAATTAGTAAAAAGCCAAAAATTAGCGTATGCACTCTCTTCAGCAACCTTGATAACATACTAAAAGTCCTCATGTATCCTCTTGGAGCTCTCCATTATGACAAGTTTTTTGTTCGATTTCCCTAGTGAACTCCTATATTGTTAAAAAATGTGAAATTTCAGATTCATTTATAGGAAAAATAAGTTACATCATTAGAAAACTTACAAAAAACTACATATAAGACATTTAAACGGCTACCTTGATTTTGCAAGTTCTTCTTGAGTTATGAGCTGTTGGAAACGTGTTGTCAGACTAGTACCCAGGATTTTTGCCAGATTTTGGCCGATTTGTCACATTTGGAACAGCAATAACTCGAAAACCACTTGAAAAATTTAGGTGACTGTTTAAATGTCTTATATGTAGTTTTTATAAGCTTTCTAGTGATGCGAGTCATTTTTGTTATGAGTGAACTTAAAATTTCACGTTTTTTAACAATATGGGAGTAATAGGGAAGTCGAAAAAAACCTTGTCATAATGGAAAAAGCTCCAAGAGGATACATGGGGACTTTCAGTATGTTGTTCAGGATAGTTGAATTATTGCATCTAACAATTTTTAGCTTTTTACTATTTTTTTCCAACCTTGGCCTTAAAATGAGCTAAAATTACTGAACTAATATTCTTTTTTTAGATCAGTGAGGAGGTCCAACCATACACCATGAACCCCGAGACCACTTTAGACTTCGTTAATGCTTTCCTTTCCTTTCCTTTCCTCGGATGTAAATAGCTAGGCGGAATTAGTACCCTCGCTTAGGTTTACACCTGGAACGGAGTTGGCTCGGGGACTAAGAAAATAATTCAGTTTTGCTGAATCATGAACTGTGACTTATTTCAATATGTCAAAATTATCCCGCCTAATGCAGGATGTCCCTGGGATCATGTAAACAATAATTATGTAAGTATCACATTAGAATCTCAAAAGGAACCTCGTTTGACCAAATGTACATCAATACAAAATGTTTTCACATGCAACAATCACCGTTTTTGCCGCTCACATCAAGTCGAGATCCATGTGAGTGAAAGGAAGATGTATCTTGTATGAGCTTACACACTTTTATTCATTTGAATTGAGTCAGCATACAATCATTCGTGATAGCTTGCGATATGCAAATAACAAACCTTATTATATTTGGGTGTGGGTAAAGGATTTTATTATCCAACATAATCAACATATTTTTACTAATACTCTGTCGTTAAAACTCGTGACTATCAACTATTCAATGCATGCAAATGTTTGAAAAATGAAGACATTTCCCGAAGGTCTCTTGTCGAACGTGAAAGCTATCTGATCCGAACGTTTGGAAAACAATATTGCGAGTTAAAGAAATCTTTCTTGGAGAAAGAAGCAACCGTTATCCTTAGTTTATAACTGATGTGTTAAATTTACGAAATAATTCCCGGCACTGTATGTCCTCCAAATAATTCCCGGCACTGTATGTCCTCCTCATTCCTAGCTAAAGCGTTGGTTCTAACTCGCATTGATAGGTATATTCAACATTGCGTACCTCCTGGTCCTGCCCCAGACGGACATTCCACGCATCCGGAGAGGGATTATTGACTAAAATGCTAATAGACCCTGGACAACCATGCTTTGATTCCAAGCTCTTTGCTATCGCCCGCTTCCACGCGCAAATGGTGTGCGCCATATGATTATCCAGTCATATCTCAGCACGCACCTCCCGCCCCCCCCCCCAAAAAAAAAAAAAAAAAAAAAAAAA